TTTTTCTTGTAAGATTGGTCTGTGTTGAAGAGTAGTGGTAATGTGGGCTTCCTTGTCTGATTGGTGATCTTAGGACAAAGCTTCCGACCTTATGACTGCTATTGTGCTGAGGAAGTCCCTGTCTTCCTGGTTTTTTGAGGTTTTTATCATGAATGGCTGTTGGATTCCGTCAAATACCTTCTCTTTGGAGAAACTTTGGAGGCTGAAAGTCCACGCTGTAGTGGGAACCCTGGGGAGGTTGTGGGGGTACATGCAGAATGGAGGTCCTGGGAGGGAGGACACCGGATAGGCTCAGGCCCCACAGAGCCACCTCAGTCCCTCCCCAGTGACCTAAGGACTTCCTCTTATCTCACCAGTCTGAGGCCCAAACTTTGGGGGACATACCCAAACCACACCTTAAACAAATGAGTTAGGAACCGTTTTTTTTGTATTGTTTTGCTGGTGGTCCTGGGTTTGAACTCAGAGCCTTGTGCTTGCTAGGCTAGGCAGGTGCTCCACCATTCGAGCCGCTCTGCCAGCCTCGCTTTTGCTTTAGGACTAAGGGTGTTGCAATCCGGGGAGGAGCTGGGCGAGGGTCATAAAACCTCCCCAGTGTTTCCAAAGTGGCTTTTTTTTCCAAAGATTGTTTACTTGGTTGCTATAGACCTTTGTTTTTGAGTTCCTGCAGTATTGGTGCTGACATTTCTCTTGTTTTATCGATTCTTCTATTTGTGGATCAGAGTTTGGAGCTTCCTTGTTCACCACTTTTTTTCCTGGTGTTACTCTCTAAATGGCATATTTTGCATCTTTACTTTTTCCTTGTGTTTGATACTTCAGGACCACAAGATGGTTGCTACATCTCCAGACATCCCATCTACATTTAGGGCAATGAAAAGGGGAAAGGCTAGAGCACTATCCCAGGCCAGATACATATATGTCCTTTTTCTTTCTTCTGTCTTTTTCTTTTTTGAGACAGGGTCTCACCCAAGCTGGTCCAAACTGGAATCAAACTAACTCAGCTTCCCAAGTGCTGGGATTACAGGCATGTACCACCATGCCTGGCTTTCATACATCTTTTTTTTTTTTTGTGGTACTGGGGCTTGAACTTAGGGTCTACACCTTTAGCCATTCCACCAGCCCTATTTGTGTTAGGTATTTTTGACATAGGGTCTCATGAAGTATTTGCCCAGGCTGGCTTTGAACCGAGGTTTTCCTCATCTCTGCCTCCTGAATAGCTAGAATTACAGGCCTGAGTCACCTGTGCCTGGCTTATACATCTCCTTTAATGAGGAAATGCAGAACCAGATCACCTGGCCACTGCTAGCTGCAAAGAGGGTTGGGAGGAGCAGGGCACAGTCTCTCCCTTCTGACCTGTAGGCACAACCCCTTGCCAAATAGAGTCCAGAGTCTGACTATGCCTCTGGCAGGCTGGTGACCCCTAAAGAGCCAGGAGTTGGGGTGATGACCATTACATTCATGGTGCCTAGAGCTTTGCACACGTCACCAGCAGGGGTAACCATGGCCCAGGGCAGATGGCTGGCTTAGTTGTGCTGTATATCCGCCTCTCCACTCGAACCCCAAACTCTGGGTGTCCCTGGAGTGCAGAGAAGCAAGCTAGTGAGCGACCTATCCAGACATCACCATGGCCTGTCTAGATGACTTTCCTGAGCAGATTCTGGCAAACATCTATGCCAGCCTCCACCACAGAAGGCCACTTTTGCCTGGGCTGCCTCCAGACTTAGTGATAGGTACGGCTCTGGTCCTTTCTCTGGGTGTGCCAATGACCACATATCAGGCACATTCAATCCGGAATAATGAGAGAAAGTAAAAAAATGACATATCAGCTGGGTGCTGGTGGCCTCCCCCATAATCCTTGCTACTTGGGAGGTTGAGATGGGGAGGATCGAGGTTTGAGGCCAGCCTGGGAAAATATTCTCAAGACTCCATCTCCATGCAATTGGAGGACATCATGGTAAGTGAAGTAAGCCAGGCTCAGAAAGACAGAGGCTGCATGTTTTCTCTCATACATGGAAGATAGATCCATAAGATAAACATACACAAAAACAAGCATGACCATATACAAACTGAAATGTAGAACATGTTTGTAACAGTGGAATTGCTCTATGTAACTCGGGGGAGGAAGGAAAGGAAAAGAGAATGATAGAGTGTCAGTAATATCATAAAACATCACATCTGTGCAGGTAGAGGACATAAGGATGTGTACTGAAAGCTGCTGAGTAATGGTGGAGGGAGGAAAGGGGTAAGGGAGAGTAATGGAAAGGGTTGAATAGACCAAAGTAAAATAGACTTACAGCGGGGACACATAGAGAAACCCCTTTGAACATCAATTTAAATATTAATAACCAAAGACAGGACTGTAAAATAGGTACAGTGTGTGTGGGGGTATGTGTGGGAGGAGGAGGGTGAATGAAGATGAAGGTGAGGGAATATGGACTTCATATACTTACATGAAACAGAACAAAGAAACCTCTCGCAATTGCTTTAAGTGGGACGGGGAGGGGATGGAGGGGAGAGAAAGTGGGGGTGAGCTAACCAATGTACAATGTAAGCCTAATTGGAATTGTCACAATGAACCCCCCTGTACAATTAAAATTTTTTTTTTAAATTAAGGAAAAAAAAGATTCCATCTCCATATCTCCAGTATAATCACAGGAGTGACTCAAGTGGTAGAACACCTGCTTTGCAAGTGCAAAGTCCTGAGTTCAAACCCTGGTCCAACCAAAAAAAAAAAAAGATATTGGGGTTGGAGGAGTTGTCTGATGATACAGCCAGTGTCCAATTCTCAGTACACAAAAAGAAGAAAAAGAGAAACGTGTGTGTCCTTTTACAGTTATTCGTGAAGGATGAGGGCAAGGTGTGGCGAGACACGGCCTTGAGGTGCTGGAGTCAATGGAAAGGGCTCTCAGGAGGGAATTCACTGCCTGCCATCCCAGGGCTGGGATCGACCTTAACCAACAGGAGAATCTGATAACCACCTGATAATCTGAGATTGGTCTGAGGGGAGAAGTGATGAGCTGGGCACTTCAGAATCACAAACATGTTGACTCATCTCTGGGGACTCATTCTTAAGGAAATAAATCCAAAAAAAGAAGAACACTATTACCACAAAGAGATGAACCAGAAATGTATTTATAATCATGAAATGTTGGAAACCAGCCAACTTTCCAGCCAAGAGAGCAGCAGACCCATCGTGCTGGTCAGAATCCAGAATACATGCCAACCAGAGATGGAAGGCAATGGCATGTGTTTATGTTAAGAGTCAAGGGAGGCCGGCCGCACTGGCTCACATCTGTAATCCCTGCTACTTGGATGGCTGAGATCTGGAGGATCATAATTTGAGGCCAACTTGGGCAATTAATTCCCAAGATCCCATCTCCAAAAATAACCAGATCAAAATGGACTGGAGGTGTGATTCAAATGGTAGAGCACTTGCTGTGCAAGTATGAAGCCCTGAGTTCAAATCCTGGTCCCACCAAGAAAAGGAGTCCAGGGAAAATCAGGATGCACAAGTGTACAGACAGCAGATAGCTGTGGTCATGACTGTGTGGTGGGGTGGGGGAATGAGAGACACACATAGGCAGTGGGTGGTGAGACAGAAATCTCCCTCCCTGCATTGCTCTCAGGCTGGTATTTTTTTTTTTTTGGGGGGTACTGGGGCTTGAACTCAGGGTCTACGCCTTGAGCCATGCCACCAGCCCTTTTTTTTGTGTGTTGGATATTTTCGAGATAGGGTCTCTCAAACTATTTGCCTGAGCTGGCTTCAAACCACAATCCTCCTGATCTCTGCCTCCAGAGTAGCTAGAATTACAGGCATGAGCCATGGCACCTAGCAGGAGCTATTCTCAAGTGACTTTTTCCTGTTCCCTGGTTCTTCACCTACTCATTTAGTGTTGTCACCTGAGGTCCATTCACAAAGAAATGATTTGCACTGGGATCCTTGCATCAGTGTCTGCTTCTGGGGGGATCAGAGGACAATACTTAGAACAGAGATGTGTGGGGGTCATCCCTGCACAAAGGCAGGCCCTGGGCACTTCCCTTCAGCCTTTCTTGTCCACTGTCCAAGCCTGGGTCCAGTCAGGGTCCATGGGACACAGGTGACAGCTGGGCTGGGTCCCTGTAGCTATCTCAGGCAGGTGGTCACACCTGAGACACTATCAGTGGCTTAACCTTGGGAATAGGGGTCAAGGTCCTGGTCCATCTTGGTGATAGCAGAAGCCCAGAGGAAGCCTTGAAGATCACTGTTAGGAGGTAGCAGGTGTGTACCATGTATGGGGGCCCAGATGGGGCAAGGCCACCACCCAGGACTCCCATCCAGGGCCGGAGTAAGAGGCAGACAAGGGAGCAGTGGGGAGATGGCTGTGCTTTCTTCTTGCTGTCTGGAGGGGACTTTTGTCACTGTGTCACCAACTGTCCTTTGTTATCTGGCTGTTAATATTAATTACAAATAGTTGCTAAGGGTGACAGTACAGAGGGTGTGTCTGAGTCTCAGTTGGCCCTGATCCCAAGAGGCAGGGGCCACAGTGAGGGTCTGGGGCCGAGCCAAAGACAGTGTAGATGTTATGGGGGGCCATGGAAAGCCCCCAAGGCCAGAACCTGGCCAGCGCCTGGTCACACCTCTGCTTCCAGTCCTTGTGTCAACTCCAGCAGGGTCTGAGTGTATGGGGGAGGGCAAATCATGGGCCTCTGCCCAGTTGGCTGGGCCCTCGCCAGCCTTCGGTTTGCACTGGGAAGCAAGTGAGGAGCCCAGCACTCCTGTCACCAAGGAAAACTCATCTAAGGGGTCTGGGCATGGAATGGGGACAGTTCGTGGGAGGGACACAGCAGGTGGATCATTAACCAGGAGGGCTCAACCCACTGGTTTCAATTCTGAGAGACCACAGGGCTGTCACTAGAGGGAGAGGAGGCCACCTTAGTGTGCGTCTCTGAGGACCATCTGGATCTTCTGCAGTCCCTAGTAGAGGCCTGGCCCTGCTCCCCACTGATCCCTCCCTGGCCCTGTGATGGCGGCTGGCCGGCAGGGCTGGCTGCTCTGCGCCTTGCTCCTGTGCTCGGTGAGTCCAGTGTTGGCGGCCATTTCCCAGTGCCTCACATCTGGGAAGGGACCTCTGGGTATTGGGAGGGGCTGCTGGGAGGGTGACAGTGAGTTGGGGGTGGGGTTGGGGGGCTCAGGGCTGGGGAGGTGTCTCATGCTCCCAGAAGAGTGCCAGTGGAGGGTCATTAGGTCAAGGGGTTGAAGGGACACAGGAGAGGCAGCTGGGTGAGGTCCTGGCCTGTGGTTAGGGGAGGACTGAGTCACAGACGTCCTGGAGGTGACTCCAGCACCTGAAGTCTCCTGGGATTGGGAGGAAGTCCCCGGGTTTTTGTCTGTGAGTTGTTCCCATAAGTGGATAATGGTGTGTGGCTCCAAGCAGGGGGTGGGACAGGGAGTGCCTTCACTTACCACAGGCCCGACTTTAGTGTGGTATGTAGCTTGGGGACTCAGGCTGACAGCGATGTGGACGCTGTTGACCCCACTGGCTCCTGATCTTTTCCTGAACTGTAGTTCATCGGGTCACCTCCTCCTGTGATGCTCAGGAAGAAAGGGCCAGCTGCATCTAACCTCAGCTTGTGCCTCTGGCAGGCTCTCCAGAGCTGTCCCATCCCACTCTGCCCTGGGTCCTTCCTTCCCCAACACCCCCCCTCATCTCCCGCTGCTCTGTAGGCCCACGGTGAGCTGTACACACCCATCCACAAGGCTGGCTACTGCACCTTCTATGAAGAATGTGGAAAGAATCCGGAGCTGTCCGGAAGCCTCACATCACTGTCCAACGTCTCCTGCCTGTCTAACACACCAGCCCACCATGTCACAGGTGACCACCTGGCCCTCCTGCAGCGCATCTGTCCCCGACTCTACAATGGTCCCAACAGCACCTATGCCTGCTGCTCCACCAGACAGCTGGTGTCTCTGGAAAGTAGCATGTCTATCACCAAGGCCCTCCTCACCCGCTGCCCAGCCTGCTCTGACAACTTTGTGAGCCTGCACTGTCACAACACCTGCAGCCCCAACCAGAGCCTGTTCATCAATGTCACCCGTGTGGTCTCCCAGGGGTCCGATCAGCCTCCAGCTGTGGTGGCCTACGAGGCCTTCTACCAGAGAAGTTTCGCAGAGCAGGCCTATGAGTCCTGCAGCCGGGTGCGCATCCCTGCGGCTGCCACGCTGGCCGTGGGCAGCATGTGTGGTGTGTACGGTTCTGCCCTCTGCAACGCCCAGCGCTGGCTCAACTTCCAGGGGGACACAGGGAATGGCTTGGCCCCACTGGACATCACCTTCCACCTCCTGGAGCCTGGCCAAACCCTGGAGAGTGGGATACAGCCACTGAACGGGGAAATCACACCTTGCAATGAGACCCAAGGTGAAGACATGGCTGCCTGCTCCTGCCAGGACTGTGCAGCGTCCTGTCCTGTGATCACCCAACCCCCGGCCCTGCGCCCTTCTTTCTACATGGGCCGACTGCCTGGCTGGCTGGCCCTCATCCTTATTTTCTGTGCCGTCTTCATCCTGATCACCGCCATCCTGGTGCGTCTTCGTGTGGTTTCTGACAGGAACAAGAAGAAGAAGATGGCAGAACCCCAGGTGGCCCCCAGCCACTCTCAGAAGCTCAAGCCCTCCCCCCACGCCGTCCTTGGTCGGTTCTTCCAGAGCTGGGGCACAAAGGTGGCCTCATGGCCGCTGACCGTCCTGGTGGTGTCCATCTTGGTTGTGGTTGCCTTGGCCATGGGCATGATCTACATAGAGCTCACCACAGACCCTGTGGACCTGTGGTCAGCCCCCAAAAGCCAAGCTCGAAAGGAGAAGGAATTCCATGACCAGCATTTTGGCCCTTTTTTCCGAACCAATCAGGTTTTCCTGACAGCTCTGAATCGGTCTAGCTACACGTACAACTCCCTGTTGCTGGGGCCCAAGACCTTCAGTGGGATCCTGTCCCTCGACCTGCTGTTGGAGGTGCTGGAGCTGCAGGAGAGGCTGCGACACCTGCAGGTGTGGTCACCCGAGGAGCAACGCAACATCTCACTGAGTGACATCTGCTACGCGCCCCTCAACCCACACAACACCAGCCTCTCCGACTGCTGTGTCAACAGCTTCCTGCAGTATTTCCAGAACAACCGCACGCTCCTGCTGCTCACCGCCAACCAGACGCTGATGGGCCAGACTGCCCAGGTGGACTGGAGGGACCACTTCCTCTACTGTGCCAAGTGAGTCCTCTGTGGGCCCAGGAGGGAGCAGGTCAGGACTGCCGCAGCCTCCTGGGAAATGGCCAGGCATGCAGCCTCATTCTGGGGCGGGTACGGGGTGCAGGGCGGGGGGGAACGACAAAGGCAGTAGCTCCTGGGCTATTCATACTGTTTTTTTCTTTTTTGGCAGCACTGGGGTTTTGAACTCTGGGCCTCATGCTTGCTAAGCAGGTGCTCTACCACTTGAGTCACTGTGCCAGCCCTGTTATTTATTTATTTATTTATTTGCAGTGCTGGGGCTTGAACTCAGGGCCTACACCTTGAGCCACCCCACCAGTCCTTTTTTGTGAAGGTTTTTTTCGAGATAGGGTCTTGTGAGCTATTTGCCTGGGGCTGGCTTTGAACCACGATCCTCCTGATCTCTGCCTCCTGAGTAGCTAGGATTACAGGTGTAAACCACTGGTACCCGGCTCCTGTTTTTCTTTTCTTGCTTCTGGGCCAGGCCCTGTAGGGCCATTGGCAGACCATGAGTGATCTGTTGTGCATAGTAAAAGATGTCCTTGGGCCAGCCCAGGGCTCATCCAGCTTATGCTACTTGGGGTTCTGTAGCTGGCTCTGTCCATTCTGGTTGAAACAGACAGAAGGCCAATGAGGCCACTGGGCATCAGGAGGGCCAGCTGTGGCAGAAGCTCCTGGAAGTGCTCCAAGTGGACTTCTTGTATACTTTCTGTTCAAATGCAAATGAAGTGAAAGCATCCCACAGCATCTCTGTGGTCCTATGAAGGCAGTTCTGACCTTGCAGACTCTGGAAGGGGCCCCAGGCCACACACTTACGATCCATTAGGTCAAATGGGGGAGCCAGTTCCCTTCACCCTCCTCCCCTGATACTTGCTCTCCACCCTCAGCCAAGCCCCAAGTGTGGGCCACTTCCTGGAGTGCCATGAGCCAGGGGCTGTCCCTCAGAAATGGCAGGACAGCCAGGTGCCTGTAGCTCACTCCTGTAATCCTAGCTACTTGGGAGGCTGAGATTGGGAGGGTTTCAGTTCAAGGCCAGCCCAGGCAAAATGAGACCCCAATGCAACAAATCATTGGGCATGGTGGTATGTGCCTGTCATCCCAACTACACAGGAGGATTGCAGTTCTAGGCAAAAAAGGTTTTTTGAGACCCCCATCTCAATGGAAGAAAGTTGGGCCTGGTGGTGCATGTCTATTATTCCAGGAAATGTAAAATAGGATAACAGTCTAGCTCCAGAGAAACCAGAGCAAAATGGGCTGGAGACGTGGCTCAAGTGGTAGAGAACCTACCTTGCAAGTGCAAAGCCCTGAGTTCAAACCCCAGTACTGCCAAAAAAAAAAAAAAAAGCCAAGACAGAAAGTTGCCTTTGGCAGCCCTAGGGAGGCCTCAGTGGTCAGTTTGGCCCTCTTGTACTTTATTTTTCTTTTAATTTTGAATGCTCATAACTTTTGGGGTGGTCTGCTTATACCCATTTCACAGACAGGAGAACTGAGGCTCAGAAAGGTATAGTGAGTTGCTCAAGGTCACACAACAACCAGCTCTCCCAGTTGGAGCTGCTGACCAACACACTTACTTGTTCAGAGCTGAGACGGTCAGTAGAGAGTTTTGTTCAGCAGCTTCGTTTCCCTAGAGATGTTCTCTGACGAGATTGGGTGCGTTCAGGGTGGTATAGCCGTAGACGAGATGGTCTCTGAAGAAAAGGTTAAGTTGAGGGACACAGGCCTGCCCAAGAGCTGCTGTGGACACATGGCTCCTGAATTCCAAGATCCAGACTCACAGCTTAGCACCTGGAAGCCATCCAGCTCAGGTAGGAGGAGGTCCAGGAGCAGCACTGACACTGTAAATCAGACAATGACAGGGCTGGAAGGTCTGGCTGTGGCCTGCAGCCCCTGCCTGAACAGAGGTGGTGCTCAGGGAAGCCCCTTAACTGCAGATGGGGGCCCACGTGAGGTCCTGTTAGAAGACAACTGTTTAGGACCTGCTGGGGTGCTGACCCTTCGCCAGTGCCTGCTCCTCCAGGGTGCCGTGGCCCTGGGGGAGTAGGGCCCAAGGAACCAGGCGGGGCCAGGAAAGACCCCTTTCCTTTGTGGTCTCCCTCCAGCGCCCCCCTCACCTTTAAAGACGGCACAGCCCTGGCCCTGAGCTGCATAGCTGACTACGGGGCTCCTGTCTTCCCTTTCCTCGCTGTGGGGGGGTACCAAGGTAAGCTGGTGGGCCCTGGCAGGAAAGTAGGCAGGATGGGGTGGCAATGGTGACGGGGCTTATGGGGGCTGCAGGTGGGCTGTCTGGCCTCCTCTCTCTGCCCGTCTCCTGTGTTTTCCTAACGCTGCCCCAGGGTTTGGTGCCTGGACACAAAGCTCTTGCCTTTGTGTGCTGAGAGAGTGAAATGGGGTGTGGGGGTAAGGCCATGTTTAGGGTGAGGAAGGAGGAAGGAGAAGGAGCAGATGGGGAAAGAGTCAGGGGGTGGATCTGAAGGGTGAGGGGATAACTGTAGGGGGAGGGGAGGCAGAGGTGTCACTGGTGGGGGAGAGGAGGCAGGGATGCAGGTGGAGTGGGGGGGACAGGAGGTCATTGGAGGGGGATGGGAGGCAGAGGTGCAGGTGGAGTGGGGGAAGGGACACAGAGTGCAGGTGTAGTGGGGGAAGGGGAGGTAGGGGTGCAAGTGGAGTGGGGGAGGCAAGGGTGCACTGGAGGGGGAGAGGAGATAGAGGTGCAGGTGGAGTGGGGGAAGGGGGGCCAGAGTGCATGTGGAGTGGAAAAAGGGAAGGCAGGGGTGCAGGTGAGGTGGGAGGTAGGGGTGCAGGGGAGGCAGGGATGCATATAGAGGGGGCAGGCAGGGGTGAAGGTGGAGTGAGGGGAGGCAGGGATGCAGGTGAAGTGGGGGAGAAGGCAGGGTGAAGGTGGAGTGGAGAGGGGAGGCAGGGTGCAGGTGGAATGGGGAGGAGGCAGGTGTGCAGGTGGAGTGGGATTGCAGGGGTGCAGGCACAGTTGGGGGCAGGCAGGGGTGCAGCACAGGGTGATGCCTGTTTTTCTCACAGGGGATGACTACTCTGAGGCAGAAGCTCTGGTCTTAACCTTCTCCCTCAACAACTACCCTGCTGGGGACCCCCACCTGGCCCAGGCCAAGCTCTGGGAGGAGGCCTTCTTGGAAGAGATGAAGGCCTTCCAGCAGAGGACAGCTGGCAAATTCCAGGTGGCATTCATGGCCGAGGTAGGGTCCCTGGACCTTACCGGTCCCTGTGGTCTTGGGTAGGTTGCACGTCCCCATCCTGGGCAGTGAATGTCCAGACTTGTCCAGATGTGGTGTTTGGGTCGGCCGTTGCTGCAGCCCTGAACTCCCCTGGGTACAGTGACCCCACATGTGGTGAGCAGGCTGGTTGGTGTGTTCACAGCGCTCTTTGGAGGACGAGATCAACCGTACCACCATAAAGGACCTGCCTGTCTTCTGTGTCAGCTACGTTGTCATCTTCCTGTACATCTCCCTGGCCCTGGGAACCTACTCCAGCTGTGACCGAGTATCGGTGAGGGAGAAAAAGTGTGTGTATGTGTGTGTGTGTGTGTGTGTGTGTGTGTGTGAGAGAGAGAGAGAGAGAGACACTAACCACAAAACAGCAAGGTGTTCACATCCAAAGAAGCTCCTCCAAAGGAAAATATTTCCCAGAAGGGTGTAGCTGGAGTGGGGGGACAGGTAGGGGTGCAGGTGGAGTGGGAGAGGGGAGACAGGGGTGAGGTGAGGGGCTTCACTGGTGCCAGAGGGGAGGCAGGAGTGCAGGTGGAGTGGGGGGCATGTAGGGGTGTAACTGGAGGGGGAGGGACAGGAAGTCACTGGAGGGGGAGGGGAGGCAGGAGTGCAGGTGGAGTGGGAGAGGGGAGGCAGGGGTGCAGATGGAGTGGGGAGAGGAGGTAGGGGTGAGGGTGTCACTGGTGCCAGAGGGGAGGCAGGAGTGCAGGTGGAGTGGGAGAGGGGAGGCAGGGGTGCAGATGGAGTGGGGAGAGGAGGTAGGGGTGAGGGTTCACTGGTGCCAGAGGGAGGCAGGAGTGCAGGTGGAGTGGGAGAGGGGAGGCAGGGGTGCAGATGGAGTGGGGAGAGGAGGTAGGGGTGAGGGGTGTCACTGGTGCCAGAGGGGAGGCAGGAGTGCAGGTGGAGTGGAGGGGCATGTAGGGGTGTAACTGGAGGGGGAGGGGACAGGAAGTCACTGGAGGGGGAGGGGAGGCAGGAGTGCAGGTGGAGTGGGAGAGGGGAGGCAGGGGTGCAGGTGAAGTGGGGAGACGGGTGTAACTGGAGGGCAAGGGGCAGGAGGTCACTGCAGGTGGAGAGAGGGAGGGGAGGCAGGGGTGCAGGTAGCACAGCTATTGTGTTGGAAGGACAAGAGTTTTCTTTCTCCTTAATATATCCCTGGGCTTGCCCAAGTGCAAAGCTTGCAATGGGAGCTGGCTGCTGTGGGCCTGCCCTTGGGAGAGCGGCTTTGCAGAGGGGCTTAAGTGACACAGGAGCTCTTGGCTGAGCCTGCCTGTTGCCCACTGCCTCATCCTGGCCCAGCCTGGGGAAGGGGTTGGGGGATATAGGTAGGTGGCCACAGTGGCTGAGCCTAGCTGCATTGCAGGTGGAATCCAAGGCCACCTTGGGCCTGGGTGGGGTGACCGTGGTGCTGGGAGCAGTCATAGCTGCCATGGGCTTCTTCTCCTACCTGCGCATTCCCTCCTCTCTGGTCATCCTCCAAGTGGTACCTTTTCTGGTGCTGGCCGTGGGAGCTGACAACATCTTCATCTTTGTTCTTGAGTACCAGGTAAGAAGGGGGGCAGATCTTTACTCCCACCACTGGCAGCCCCAACATCTGTATCTATTTGCTGGGCATGCTTCCCCAGCAAATATGCACCAACACTAAGTTACCCCTGAAGAAAATAGCGTGTATGGACGTGAATATAGTCATCTTGCTTGTGTCACTTGGAGCTTGTTTTTGGTTAAACCCACGCAATGTCTTTGAAAGCTTTCTGTGTTGGCACATTGGAGCCACCACCTGTCTTCATGCTACAGTGTGGTACTCTATGATAAGCCCAGAGTCCACCCAGCCTCTCCCTAAGTGCCAGCAACCAGGTAGCACTCGAACGACATTAGGAGTGCACAGTGCATTTTTTGAGGCCAGACCTTAGAAGTAGAGAGTGGGGCTGAGAAATGGTTGTGGGGTCAGTGCCTGACTTGGGAAGGTCAGGCAATTCCTTGAGCATTGCCAGCACCTTGCCAGCCTTTGAGGGATAGTGCCCATGGCAGACCCGGTTCCCTCTACCTGCCCTCCCCACATAGAGGATGCCTCGAATACCCGGGGAGCAGCGAGAAGCCCACATTGGCCGGGCCCTGGGCAGCGTGGCCCCCAGCATGCTGCTCTGCAGCCTCTCAGAGGCCATCTGCTTCTTCCTCGGTGAGCTGGGGGAGCCCTTCCCCACCCAAGGAGGGCCAGGAGTTCTCAGAGGGCTGTGGGTGTGGGCAGACCCCCTTTGCACTGAATGCTCTGTGCCAGGGTCCACCCTGCTTAAGATGCCAGGGTGCCCTGACAGTTGCCTACCCCCAACAGGGGCCCTGACGCCCATGCCTGCTGTGAGGACCTTTGCCTTGATCTCTGGCCTGGCAATCATCCTTGACTTCCTGCTGCAGATGACCGCTTTTGTGGCCCTGCTCTCCCTGGACAGCAAGAGGCAGGAGGTGGGGGCAGCTGGGCCAGGACCAAGGGACCTGCTCTGCTTGGGTCCCCAACTTGACTGGGAAATGTGTCCTCACTGTCACAGAGATGGCCCTGAGAGTGGGGTGGAGGGTAGGGGTATTGTGCTGGGAGGGGATATTTGGTCCCGTTTCCCATAGAAAGAGACTAGAGGTGTGGCTCAAGCGATAGAGCACCTGCTTTGCAAGCGTGAAGCCCTGAGTTCAAACCCCAGCTCCACCAATTTCCCATAGGAAGATAATTTGTTTTTGGTATAATTTTTAGAAATATGTTCAAACTTCCACAAGGTTGTGAAATAAGATCTAAATGAGAAGTTGAGCTGATGGTTCTGTGGGTGCCATAAAATCCAGATAGGTGATAAAGGTGGAAGAAAAGGGAAGTACACTCTGAACCCTGGCTTGACCTCAGGGTACACTGATGGCGGTACTTCCCTGGGGGAGGCAGTCCCTAGGATGCTGTGATCCTGATAACCTGCTTTCCACCTCCCCCCAACCCCCTGCTATCCCAGGCTGCCCGCCCCGACATCTTCTGCTGTCTTAAACCCAGAAAAGTGTCCCCAGCTGACCCAAGCGAGGGGCTCCTGCTGCGCTTTTTCCGCAAGCTGTATGCTCCCTTCCTGCTGCACTGGGTCACCCGCCCTGTCGTGGTGAGTGGGCTAAGAGGCTGCAGGGGATTGGGAGAAAGTCAGGTCAAGGGTGGAGGGATTGCCCAGGTGCAGATGCTGGTTCTTGGGGCTGGAACTCAAGTCTGCCTAACACTGGGATATTTCCCAGAAAGCCCCAGCAGGACTCAAGTTGGGGGACGATGGGGGTTTTGAGGGGGACGCGGCTCTCATTCAGTGGCTCTCTCCTCAGCTGGTGCTGTTTATCTCCCTGTTTGGAGCAAGTCTCTACTTCATGTGCCACATCGATGTAGGGCTGGACCAGGAGCTGGCCCTGCCCAAGGTGAGCCCGCTGGCCTCCCAGCCATTGGTCCTCTGAGATTTGGGAGGGGAACCCAGCAGATGGGGGGGCATATGGCCAGGGCTTGGCAGCTGTGCAGAATTACTTATCACCTGGAGGCCCCAGTGGACCTGTGGAGAGAAACCACATCTGTGACTGAAAAGCATGAAAGCCCAGAGCCAGCCTCAGGCCACAGTAGGAGAGATGTCCTTGTCTGGAAGGGCCAGCCACACAGAGGGACTGTCAGTTTGCTGGGTGCCTGCCCTGTGTGTGTGAAATTCTCAGCACTTGTTATTTCCTCCGTCCCTCTCTCCCTCCTCCCTCCCTCCCTTTCTTCCTTCCTCCTCTCTTTCCTCCCTCCCTGTTTCCCTCTCTCCTTCCTCTCTTCCTCCTCTCTCCTCAGTCTCCCCCGTGGCAGGATTGTAGGCATGCCTGGCTTCTTTGTGGTTTTGACTTGTACTTCTCTAACAATAATGATGAACAACTTTTCCTGTGCTTAGTGGCCATTTGTATACCTTCTTTAAAAAAATGTCTGTTTAGATCCTTTGTCCATTTTTTAATCTGGTCATTTTGTTGTTTGTTGTTGTTGTTGAGTCTTAAGAATTCTCTGCATATTCTGGATAGCAGTGCTTGTCAGAAATGTGATCTGCCTAGCCAAGCACTGGTGGCTCACGTATGTAATCCTAGCTACTCAGGAGGTAGAGATCAGGAGGATCTCAGTTCAAAGCCAGCCTGGGCAAATAGTTCAAGAGACCCTACCTCAAAAAACCCTTCACAAAAAAAGTTTGTTAGAAATAGATTTGGAATATTGGGGTGTCATGAGAGAGATGACACAACTCTGAAGTCACTAGGCAAGGCAAAATTTACTTCTGCCACAAAGTATCTGGTTAGCAAGCACAATGGGCAGGAAGTCTTCTTGGTTTTTATCTCTAACACAAGTCTGCCCTTCACCCTGATTGAATAGGTTTAGGTTCACAATCTTTGTGATTGGCTAATTTGAAAAGGGGGCAAGTGGGGCAAAGGACCTTGAGGCATAGGAAGCAAGGAAATTCTTCTGAGCAATAGTCATCTTAAGCAAGCTTTTTAAAGATAGGACATCTGGTGATAACAGGAACTTATTTAGCTAAGAAGAAAAAAAACAAATACAAAAACAAAAGCAGCCCTTTGTTCAAAGACAGGAACCCTGCAAGGTTAAACACATATACAAACTAGGCAACAATTCGGGGAGGTTCAGCTGACATCTGGAAAATGGTAGTTATACTCTACAGTAGCCCCTTTGACAGAAAAGACCTAGTTTTAGTTGATTCTCATAAGCTGGCCGAGTGGCTCAAGTGGTAGAGTTTACTCAGGGCATGAGTCCCTGAGTTAAAATTCCAGTACTGCCGGAAAAAAAAAAAAAGTGATTTGCCAACTTTCCTCCCTCCCTCTTTTTTTTCAGTATTGGGGTTTCAGGGCCTACACCTTAAGCCCCTCCACCAGCCCTTTTTTGTGAAGGGTTTTTTCAAGATAGGGTCTCGAGAACTATTTGCCTGAGCTGGCTTTGAACCACTATCCTCCTGATCTCTTCCTCCTGAGTAGCTAGGATTACAGGTGTAAGCTACCGATGCTCAGCTGTTTTCTCCTTTTCTGTGAGCTGCTTTTTTAATTCTGTTGGTAGTATCCTTTTATGCACAAATTTTTAAAGTATTCATGAAGTCCTATTTATTTTTTCTTTTGTCACTTGTGTCTTTGGAGTCATATCCAAGAAATAATCACCAAACCTAATGTGATGAAGTTTTCCTGCTTCTTCTAAGAGTTTTGTAGGTGTAGGTTTTACATTTAGGTCTTCGATTAATTTTGAGTTAGTTTTTGTTCATGGTGTTGTAAGGGCCTAAACTTAATTCCTAATCATTTGTTGTCCCCATCAAATGGTTTTGGTACTTTTGTCAAAAAGCCTTTGACCATGTGTGTGAGGATTTATTCCTGGATTCTGTGTTCTGTTTTACTGATATATGTATCTGTCTGTGTACCAGTACCACACTGTTTTGACTACTGTAGCTTTGTGGCAATTTTTCAAGTCAGGAAGTAGGAGCGTTTCAACTTTGTTCTTTACCAAGATTGTTTTGGCTACTTGGAGTCCCTCGAGATTCCATATGAACTTGAGGGTGAATTTTTATATTTCTTCAAAAAATGCCATTGGGATATGGATAAGGATTGCATTGAATTTGTAGATTGCTTTGTTTTGATATTACTGATCTTTTTTTTTTTTTTTTTTGAGGTTTGGGGTTGAACTCAGGGCCTACACCTCGAGCCACTCTACTAGCCTTTTTTGATGGGTCTTTTCAAGATAGTGTTCCAGGAACTATCTGCCTGGGGCTGGCTTTGAGCCGAGATTGTCCTGATCTCTGCCTCCTGAGTAGCTGGGATTACAGGCGTGAGCCATCGGCACTTGGCGATACCATAGCTTTGTGGCAATATTATTTTCCAATATCTTAATATTATTTTCCAGTCCATGAACATGAATGTGTTTCCACTAATTTATGTCCTCTTTATTTCACAAAATTCTTCCCCAAAAACACTTTTAGGTCTACAGAATCCTAACCATTTCAGCAGCGGTAGGAGTGGGAGAGGTCCTCTTTCAATCCAGTCCAGGGCTTTCATAATGTTGGTTTCTGGTCACCTAATGTATAGGCAAGTGGCATCATGGATGTGGGGAACAATGACAATGTTTACTTTCTCCCTCCTAGAGCAAAAAGCTGAGTGCCAGTTTCTGCTTCTATAAGAATCTTGAGCCAGGCACCGGTGATTCACACCTGTAATCTTAGCTACTTGGGAGTCTGGGGTTGGGAGGATCATGGTTTGAGGCAGCCTGGACAAATAGTTTACAAGACCCCATCTCCAAAATAAACAGATCAAGAGACCCTACCTTGAAAAACCTCATCACAAAAAAGGGTTGGTGGAGTGGCTCAAGGTGTAGGCTCTGAGTTCAAGTCCCAGTACAACAACAACAACAAAAAAAACATAGTAGAAAGAGTATACAAGCATGATTGCAGTTCCTACTGTGTTCACATGTCCAAATTCCTCCTTCACTTTTTTTTTTCAAGGAAGCTGGTTGACTCTGCTTAACTCTTGCTGCAGTAACTTTAAAGCTACAGTAGTAACTGGCAGGATCACACTTGTACCCCAGGGGCCTCATTCTTTACCTATATGAACTGAAATCACATAGCAACCAAGTAGCTTCTTTTCTGTATTCTCTGTGTAGACTTGCCAAATCTTTTACACAGAAGTTCCATAGGTCATCGTTTGTACAGTGGTGAGTAAAGATAAAAATACTAATATAAAAAGAAGTTGCAGAGAAATTGAACTTCCAGCTAGCTCTCTGTGGCATGTCCTTTGTGCCTGGGCTCTGTGGGCAGTTGTCATTCCTGTCAAACAGCCAATATTTTCAGTTGTCTTGTAGAAGTGAGTCTCGGTGCTGGAATTCAATCTTTGGTCAGGTTGTTTCTCCTGTGTGACAATTGTTGTGTAATCTGTCCCTCTGTCAGTGAGTGATGCAAGACCATCCTGTTCAATAGCCTTAAAGCATATTCTTGATAGAGTCAGCCCTTGATTGTAAAAAGGGTGATTAGAGGTCAAAACTATCACTGAAACCACAGGACATGTTGGAATGCCTTCTACTTAGGGAGTCTCTGGGCCCCATAACTTCCACAAGGGTGCAGAGGCCCTTCCTGAATGTTGCAGTGACTCAAGACATTCTTGAAAGATAATTGAAATTCTTAAAAAAATTTTTTTTGTGGGCTGGGGTTTGAACCCAGGGCTCTTCTGCTTGAGCCACACCTCTAGTCCATTTTTCTCTGGTTATTTTGGAGATAGGGTACTGCAAACTGTTTGCCTGGGCTGGCCTAAACCTTGATCCTCCCGATCTCAGCTTCCAAGTAACTAGGATTACAGCATG